CTTCACATACACTTGCCGTTGTTTGTAGTTGTAGTCAATTCGCTTCACATTAGTTTTTCTATTACTGCTGCATTTGCTAACTTATGATCGAACTAGAGCGAGAAAGGAGTGAATAAATGATTTCAGTTGCAGTATGACGTCAGTAAATGCACATCGCTTAAAGCGGCTGTTGTTGAAATTTATTTGTGAACGTGAAAAAAATTTAATGGCTTCACTTTTACATATTAATGAAAAATATTTTAGAAGTGTTTATAATAAATAATAAATTAAATATAATTATTTAATACATATTTAATGCATTTTATATATCAGTATATAAAATGCTTACCACAACTAGTAATAATGTAGTTATTTGCAAAATCATTGTGTGTAGTGAAAATGTGACGTTAAACGCCATTTTGAAATTCGCCATTTGCATTTTAGTAAAAATAAACTTAAAATATTCCTTTATTGTGTAATTTATTTATAAAAATATATAGTGAAATATGTATATTAGAGTGATACAATGGTTAATTTAATTAGAAATACAGAAGATATGCTTTACATAAATTTATTTAAATATAACGTTTAAAATTTTAAACGGAAAAATTTTGCTTAAGTTTCGTAGTAGCGTAGTTTTAGTATTTTGGTTAGAAGCTACAAGTTACTTGAATTTGTCGCTGCAATACAGGGTAAGTCAATAAATACCTTTTTATCAAAATCTATGTTTAAAATACCTTTAAAATATATATTAAATTTTTAAAATAACTTTAATCTTTATATAAATAAACATATATAAAAAATAACTTTTTTTAAAATTATTTATTTATGTGATTAGAAAATATTTACGAAATATTATTTTAAAAAACAGAAAAACGATAGGTTGTGCTTAGACTCTACAGTTGACTATATTAGGCTATATCAAAACGCAAAAATGTTTATTTTTAGAATAATAATATACAATTTGCTTTTTTCAAAATTTAATTTTATATTATTATTAGTATTATTATTTTTATTATTATTATTATTATTATTATTTATATTATTATTATTATTATTATTTATTATTATTTATTGATTTAAAAAAATTTATACAGCACTTACAAAAATTATAGAATTTTATTTAAAATCTAAATTGACAATAACATATTTGTTGTGTATCAGATTTCATAAATTTTTCATAAATTTATAGAGTTTATAATATAAATATTGCTACCGTTTAATAAGACTTTCACTTCTTCTTCAGACAGAAGTGCTTTATCAAATGTTCTCTGAAAATTGGACATACACCAATAATATGATAAATATTTTCTATTTCATGACGATTAAACAAAGAACAATATAATGTAATATATATAGCTGTATAATATAATATAATAGCTGTTTGAAGGATCAAAAGATATACAGTGCTTAGCTAAAGTCTAAGATAAATTTAGTCTTCCAGTACATCAATTTCAAAGTGAATTAACATTAAGTACGGAATAATTTGATTAAAAAAATTTAGTTTTCAAATAAATTATTAAATATTAAAAAAAACTAATCTAAATTTTTTAAATCAGTTATTTCTTATATCGAAAGAAAGTTTTCCCTGAAGATGACTATCGAAGATAGTCGAAATATCGGAAATAAAGTATAAACGATTTTTAAATATAAATAATAAATTAGTGTCTTTTTATTTATATTAAAATTTGACCAATTAGCCCGGTAACAAATTATTATAATTATATCGAAATATATATAAAGTATAAATAAAATGCACTTATCCTCTCAAACAATATTTCTAGCTTCAATATATCTTCAAGTTTTTGGTGCAAAAAATTTTAAAAAAAAAAAGTATATTAAATGAAACCGTAGCAGTCTTCATAAAATTAAAAATTAATCAATATCAAAACTAGAAACTCAGTTAATGAAGCTTTTGGATGAAGCTTGGTACATGGCTTTTTTATAAAGACAATAATGGAATTGGTTAATTTTATAATATATTGGCAGCCAAATGAAAAATCCCAGTGTTGATTTATATATATATAAATATCTAGTTAGTTAGATGAACTTAGTGAGTACTATAAGAGTTTTGGCAACCTTAAAACATAAACGTTTGGAGAAAAGCTTAGTTTCTCTCTCTGTGAAGTTGCAGTATATGTTAACGCTTTGTTGTCAAAGTTGAGGGCGATAAATTTTTATTTATGTTAAGCTAATTAAATAATAGCTGTGCTAAGTGTTAATAGTAGTTAAAAGCTGATCTGGAATTAAATATATTCCAAATATGTAGAATTGATGTTGGTACATATCGAAAAAAAAGTAACATTATTTATTTAAAAATGTTTTGTTGTCTTATATTACGGTTATAATATAAGAATATATAAATATTATATGAGATAAATATTAAATAGAAAATTCACTATACAAAAACGAAGTCTTGTGATTAATTTAAAATCTCATTAAAATGTAGATGATATTTTCGTATTACATAAAAAGTATGCATTAATATTATTCAAAATTGCTAAATAGTCTATGTATAAAACGAATTGGTTTGAGTATTGTATAAAATCGACACTGCTTTAGTTAGCAATACTATGTTCAGTCGACCAAATTTCCTTAATTTCGTAAAAATGAAATTAAGTTATTTTCGAAAATTTTTATACTGCCCCGAATTAAGGAAATCATTGTGTTTGTTTACAACAAATCGGATGTTAAAAATTACGTGCTACAAACACTATTTGTATCTGGCAGTTGCTTTATTAGTATTAGTGGATTTCAGGTATGGAATTATTATTTTTCAATGTATTATTATTACTTTTATTAATTATAACAGTTACAGTTTTTTCTCTATATTTAAATTTAAAATTTTTCACTATTTTTAAAATATTTGTCCGGCTTTATTAAAGTCAACTGTGACTGACATTTATTTAAAAAATATATCACTTTTTCGTTATCTCAACTTTATCTTTTCCTTAAAATTTCCCTTAGCATAGTTGCATTTGAAGTGTCCCTTAATTTGAACCTCGTTCTAACGAAATTAAGGACATTTTTCTCGTTTTAACCTTAAAAATGAATTTAGTATAGAAAAAAACTTAATTTCGCTGAAACGAAGATGAAATTAAGATTTTTGAGAAATTAAGGTGATCTTCACAGATCTTTCTGATACAGAAAAGCTCTTGCACATCCAACAAGTAAGTTATGTCAATAGAAACGACAAAATCTTAAAGTTACTTAAGTTACTTACTAAGTAAGCAGGGGAAAAATGATATAAGAATGGGTGTTGTCAAATGCTGTTAACAAAGATGATCTTGTTTCATTCAAACACCGTACATTAGAGACCGTAATTATATAAAATTATATATAATTATATAAATTCGTCTGAAACTATAAAGAACTTAAAAGTTGCACGGCCCGTGGGAACACTTCTTGCTAAAGCGCGGTGCAGACTATCATACTGTTATGTCATACGAGAGAGAAAAACGTCGTATGACACACAGCTATGATAGTCTGCCACCTTTACCAACGTGTTGGCGTGCTCACCAAAATTTTGGTGAACAGCTCTCGCATACGCGTTGTGTATGATAGTCTGTCACCCCAAACGATTCATACGTCATACAAGAGCATTTTTGCCTTGCAAATTTATTGTGAGCAGGTGATCTATGTAAAATTTTAATATGAATTTAATATGTTTTTTTATTATTTTATTATTAATGTATTTAATATTATTATTATTTATTATTATTAAAATTACACTTATAAATTTGTGTTAAATATTTAATTGCATTTTAGTTAAAAAATTTAATTTTTACATAAAATTCTTATAAAAAATTAAAATACAATTAAATATTTTATGTAATATATTAAATATTTTATTTAATTTATTAAATATTTTATTTTCTTTTATTTCAATTTATAAACGATGATTTTAAGTAAAATTTTTTTTAAAAAACATCTATATATAAACATCGTTAAATTTATGATCTAAGCCCAGTAATAAAAAAACATATTGAAAATTGGTCGTAATAACAATTAATTAATAACCCAAATTTAAGATTTAATACTTTGTATTCTACATATGCTTTTCTTTGTTAAAACTTGTTATTAAAATAAAAGAATTTTAAATGTTAATAACCTTTAACTAACAAAAATATGGAAATGATCAAATTTCTTTAAAAACAATGAAGATATATACATTCTTATATATATATATATATATACATTATTTGTATGATCTATTTATGTAAAATTTCTTAAGAAACTTTACAGGTAGTGAATGAAATTAACTACGGTCCTTTACTGATCTTTTCATTTTAACTACTGTGCTTAAAGACCAATAAACCTAAAAAAATACATGAATATGGATGCAGATAAAGCATTTTTAGATGCTTTCATCGAATGTTAACAAAAGTAATCGCTGTTTGTGGGATGTCCAAAGCTGTGAATATAAAGATCGCAAAAAAAACGCGGCATATATAAAATATACAAAATTATAATCAATTATAAGCAAAGCGCAACCTATACGTTAACTACCAATTTTTTCAATTTTAAAATTTTATTTTAAACACACAAATTTTCACAGCATTACCCGCAAAAGCACTCTTCAAAAATTTTGCCTACTCTTATGTGTCATACCTGTTCAAATTCGGTCGCTAGAAGAAATTTGAGCAAGAGAGAGCGCAACTCGTATGACACACCAGTATGATAGTCTGCACCGCGCTTAAGTCGCTAAAAAATGTCCTGTAAATTGAATGTTTCCAGCAATATTTTTTTTAATTGTATACTCTTATTTGCAGCATTGAAATACGCAACATTGATAAATATCAAAGACCGTAAAAATTAATACGGTCTTTGTTTTCCTAAAAAGTATATATTAATTTCCAAAACTTTTTTTATATTTTTATTGCATACATTTAGAGACACAAATTTAATAATCTATTACAATATAGCTCACTTAATAATAACTTAACTTGGTTTTTATTATAATAAAAAATGTAAAAGTTCATCGAATAATTAAAAATCAAAAAAGAAAAAATTCTATAAAAATTTCTAATGAAACAGCGATTTGTCGCTAAATACCCAAGGAACTAAAATCTTCAATTAGTTTTGTATTGAAACGATATACTCCCATCTAACGAAATCATATGTGTGTACATAAGAACTAGAAAATATAATTTATTAATAATGTTAAAATAATTATATATTTTATATTACAGTTGCATCATTATGTCTTCATATATCTGAATCACGATTCACGGTAATTGCCTTACAAATCTCTTTCTGTGCATTGCATACTCTATCACAATGTTCCTTCATTGTTCGAAATGAACGAATAAATGAATTATTTTTATCCAATTCAACAGAAATTTGTCTCATCAAAACAGCATTGAGAGTTTTATTTGATTACTGTCGCATTCTATATTGAACAGCGGTATCGTAACAGACATCGTAAAAATACAATGATAAGTTCCTCTTAAAACTGTGTCAGAAATATTAGCTTCCAAACTGACCCTAGCATAAGCCGAATTGTAGCTTCAAATATAGTCGAAATAATTTTCAGACTTTTTTTTTATATTGTTATCATTTGATGTGAGACCGTCATACAATGGAATAAAAAATATTATTTTGTGTTAATAGTGGAAGATATACGTTATCCTTATGACAATACATAGTGCAGAAATTTCTTTCACGCATTGTAGACTCTTTAGCAAAATGCTTAGCTAAACAATGCCTACAAACCAAGTTCATAGAACCAATATGAAAGGAATCAAAATTAGGCGGTATTTCAATCAAAGCACATTTGAACGAACTTCGCAAAGGAGCTGAATTATTGTCAACACTATTGTCAACTTCAATTTAATTTAAATCACGTTTCGTGTTCTTCTTGATTTCATATTTCCTTTATTTCTTTGTCTCTGTACTCTCCCTGTAAGCGATTTACGGTAAAGCATGATGACAGTACAATTCCAAAAATAAAATTTCATTAATTGAATGAATGATTTTAAATAAACTCACCAATAATAAAGGAAGTAACTAAGTAATTTTCAAGTGGCATCCGACTTGTCACAGGTTTTCTAACTGGACACTGCGGAGTTAAAAAACATTTATTGAATCTAGGTATTACTGGAGACGATAGCTGTAGACTTTGTTACGAAGAAGAGGACACATATTGTGTCACTGTGATAGTCTTGCAAGACTCAGACTTCGCTACTTATCCATTGCCTATCCGCTTATAACGGAATTAGGCAACATCTTTCCAAAGGACATACTGGCATTCTTAACTGCTACTCGTCTATCGAACTGAAGTGGGTATGTCACAATAATCCTCGAGGATGCAGTGACGCGGTGACTTTTTCCCAACCCTTCTTTTGAAAAAAAAAAAAAAATTAATTTTCAAACCCACCAAAATAAAACTTATTTTTCTGAAATTTTAAATTTTTTAATTTTACTACATATTATTAGGTAATTCAGATAGCCTACTCAGCTCAAGAAACAATTTAAAATTGCTTTTTGTAATTGTCACTCAAAATCAGTATTGAAATCCTACTTTGACTTAAGACAGTATCACATACATGCGAACGTACATGTGAATAAATTTTTTTGTTATCGTAATACACATGCTTAGCATCACTTCCGGGCTATCATCCTGGACTTAGTGAATTTATAGAATTCTCAGGTTGGATCGCTTTTATTTAATGAGAGCTACGTGTCTTTCGGCGTTGCTCGTGCACAGACTTCTGATCTTTAACGCACTTACAAATGCTAATGCTGTGGTACTACAACGGGCTATTTTTTGACCCTAAGTGTGATTCAAACACCAAACCACCACTTCAAACTATCCTAACCTAACCTTAGCATCACTTAAAAATTAGCAATTACTTTTAGATAGTCAATGAAAATTACTTTACTTATTTTTTATAGTTGGAATTGTTTTAGACAAAAACTACGCGTTGAATCTAAAAGCTAGAAAAGCATAAATACGTAAATATAATATATTTTAAATTTATAGTTCTTGATATTATCTTATGAGCAGTATCTTAAGTAACTGTTGAAAAATTTTTGTATTACTTTAGCCAACACTAATATATAGTTTACTTTTACTTTTACGATGCGTAAAGTAGTAAGGAAAAAAATTTTTCAAAATCTATTCATTTTCATATATATTTATTTAAAAATTGTATTGAAAAGTACTTTCTCAAATAATAAAAATTGATATTATTTAATGTTTGCTATTTTTTTTATTAATTATGCATCGCAGTCTCCAGCTGTAACGCCATTTGGGCAGGAAATGCATTCTCCTTCGTCAAAACCACATGTGCAGCCATCACCTTCAGCTTTTCCACTTTCACACACACAATCATCATTGGCATCCTCAATACATACATCAGGGATAATACATTTTCCATCTTTAACACCATCGTCACATTCTTCGCAGTCATCATCCGCATCAAATCCGCACTGACAGTCTGTTTCTTCGGTATCACTACAAATACATTTAGTTCCATCTACTATGCATGTGTCAAGTGGTAAAACAACACATGTCCCATCAGCTTCAACACCTTCAGCACATACGTCACATTCTTCATCTTCATCAAATCCACACTGACAATCGGTCTCTGTTGTATCAACACAAACACATTTATTGTTATCAGTTTTGCATGTTCCAGTACTTGGTGAAGCAGTGGGTGCCGACGTGGGTGCTGGAACAGCACACGCTCCATTTTTGGATGCATATGCTTCCAAACCTTTGCTATCAGCTAAACATGCCTGGGAAGGTTCACTAAAATAGTAGCCATCATCACAGGTACCGGAACCGGTTCTTACGCTATCCTTACAAATAGTATATTTCTGACAATCTGGGTCAACGGCATTTACAAATTTTTTCTTTGAACCTTCGCAACGATCGCAAGTTGACACTGGCGTTGCAGATTGACGGTTGAGGCATGTAGCATGATTCACATCATAAAACATATTAGTATCACATTCATAGGCAACCCATTTTTTATTCGAACAAATGAAAAATGTTGAACACTTCACAACACTACCCTTCTTTTGTCCATTTTGTGTAGCAAGACAATCCAACTCCTCATCAGGTTGTACGCTTTCACCAGTTACACGGGAACAGTCTGTGCCGGTTTCATAATTGCAGTTTTGTTGTTGTACATTGAAAATCTTTAAATATTAATTAAAAATGTTGTAATGCAATTTATTTTATTTTTAATGAAAACTTACTAAGCCATCACCACATGTTCCGGTTTTAAGGCCTCCCGTAACACATTTCTGCCATATTTGGCAATCAAGCGTACTACCAAAGAATTTATTGTCCTGCATAATATCACAAACTGATTGCATACCAGCTGATACACCCTCATTAATGTTATCATTACATGAACCGTATTGACATTGTTTATCTTTAAAAATCATGCCGCTACCACAATGTCCACGTCCCAATTCCTTATCGTTGGTGCAGTATATCCAACCATCACATGTACCAACAATGGGCACATAAGTTTTGTCCTTACCGTTGCAAGGATCATCGTTGTCGTAATAGCATTCAACAAGAGCTGAAGCCTTACAGCCCTGAGAGTTCTTGTCAAACGAAAGACCGGCACCGCACTCTCCCTCAGTGCCAACACCATTTTGACATGTATAGAATTTTGAACATGATTCGACACTTGCAAGTTTCTGTCCATTTTGCACCATAGTACAGTAGGTATCCACATTGTACTCAGCATTGATCGAATATACAATCGCCAAGACTATGGCGCAAGTTAGTAGTTGTTTTCCTAAAAAATTTAATGAAAACACATTATTTTAGATATGCTTTGCAATTAACTTAAGTAATTTATGTTTAAATAATTTATTTTTATTTTTTGTATATGTGTTTGATTCTGCTCAACAACAATATTGGATTTAGTATTAGAAGTTGATTATGACAATTCCATTTTTTCACTATACATTCACGCACTCACCAAACATTCTTCACAATCACTCGAATACCGTTATAATTTTGTTATAATTCGTTCGTTTCCACTAATTTCGATAAAATAATTCCAACGACTGTAGAAGAATCTTTAGTTTAACTTTCTTAAATACCTACTCTTCGGAACCGTTTTAACACTCCGCAAAATTGAGTTTAGAGATTAGATTTGATCAATTTCACAAAAAATATAATTAAATTAAAAAAAAAATAAAGTTATCACTTGAGTTATATGATAAGCTGTACTTTAATAATCGACATTTCCTATTAAAGATATTAATTGTCTTATTTCTTGCAAAATTGATAAAAAAAAATAATTAAAAAATATAACAGATAGCAATTGGATTCAAACGCTATGAGATACTTTCATTGCAATTCATTAAAATTTACACAACAGAAACCTTCAAATATTTTGTTAAATAATATGAGACGATTATTTTTATACAAAAATTTAATAAAACATATTTTAAGATACGATCAAACAGTTTTTTTCTTTAACACTAACAATAATTATCGGATAAGAGAGAATAATTATCATTATTAGCTCTTCAACCCGGTGGGTAATGACAGCTTTTCTACATTGTTTTCTTAATATATTAATTGCATATACTCCTTTCATTGGTCCAGAGCTCTTTTGCGGAGTAACAAATAGCTTCACAAATAGCTTATTATGTGAACGGGAGAAACAACATCTACTTGAACACTGGAGACCCTAAACAGGCATGCGGCAGTCAAAAAGATTCATTGATCCTGATCACATCAAAGTTGATGCTATCCTTAGCCTTTGCAGAAACGATATTAAAATCTACACTGAACTTCTTACAGGACACTGTAGACTTAATCACCACATGAAGATTATAGGTATGGTAGAAAGTGATTCCTGTCGACTCTGTCATGAGGAGAAGGAAACATCAGAACATGTTCTATGCAACTGTCCAGCGGTGGCAAGACGTAGACTCGATTACCTTGGAAGCGGGATATTGGTCCCAAGTCAAATACGTAAAATTTAGCCCACAGCAATTACAAGATTTATAAATAGTCTAAAATCGTCCTAGTTGGGCCTTTAGGCGCACAATAGATCTTTTAGGTCGGGGTGCTTTAAAAGCCTATTACTTAAAATAATAATATATTAATATGTGATGTGTACATTGCGAATAGTCTTGATATGGTTATTTAGAATACTTAAGATACTTAAGGCTTGTGTTATACAACGTGTCACGGGCACGTCAAAATCAAAATTGCTGTTGCTTTCAATACAAATTTAAAAACTGAGAGTGAGAGAAAAAATGTTCTTTTAAAATTGGTCATGAGAGCAGAGAGAGAAAATGTGCCTCGTCACTCAGTACGTGTTGTATGTATATATTTCCTTTAAAGTTTAGGCACAATCAAAAACTAAATGACAAACTAATATGACAGTCTGCATAACATACATTTCCGTCATAGCTAGAAAGAACTAATTTTGACGTGCTCGTGACGCCCTACATAACATGAGCCTAAGTCCACTTCTATTGTCTGACACTGTTGATTGAGCGATTTTTCCATTGTCAGCCTTAAAACCAACCCTTTTTACTTTAAGACTTTCGTTGAGTGTACTGTTATTCTGTTATTTTGAATAATGTGACTAACCTATCTTTAAATTGTCTTTTGATAAAACGACTCTCTTGTTCCGTTATTAAAGAGCTGTGTTAGTATTCCGTTGTAGCGAATATATAAAAATTTGGTTAGTACTTTATGAAAAATTGTGACCTGCTTGGTATTTGGAAACTTGTAGGTCGATACCTCACAGCTGTGTGCTAGAAATAGGTGCACTAAAGTTTCATACATTTTAAAATTGTATGCCTTCTTAAAAGTTTTAACATAAACACCTTAAAATGTATGTAAAGCAATACAATATATACCATAGTATTAATAATAACATAATAGTCATTATTGGTTATACGAGGTTTCTTGCTATATTTTAAAGCAATAATTTTCTTTGTTGAAAATCAATTCTAATTAATGATATATTTATATATTATATATTATTTCATCAGTGTATCAATAATTCCATTAACTTCTGTAGATTATCAGCGAAAGACTTGACCAAATAATTTCCAGCGGTTCACAGTTAACCAATTTTTAACCATTAATAGTGTCTTGCAGAGACCAAAAAAAAGTTGTAGTCAGACTTTGAAAAGTTTGTACTAAATCATGAATCAAAACTTCCTAACCAAATTTTGTGAATTTAAGCCGAGTTACCAAAGATATGTGTGACCTGGCATTGTGATAACAACACACAATTGTAATGATACGCAGATGGTCTAAAATGCGGACTATATGGTTCTGTGATTGTGTTCTGAGTTATCAAAGTTTTGTGTGGCTTTACATTGTGATGATTGAACATTATTTATTTTTTGTTAATCAGCTCTGGTAACTTTTCGTTAATGGTTTCGATTAAGTGTTCGAGTTGTGAGCAGTAGAAGACCGAATTACCCGTTACACCAGACTGGATCAGCGGTAATAAACAAATCAATTGGTATAGTGTTGTCGTGTTTAATTGAAATAGACGACTCTTCTATATACTATTCGAAAAAATATATGCTGATATTAATATATTACGGTAATATTTAGAGTTTTGATAGTCGTGTTTGGTCTGATGTAATATAAACAGTTAAACAAATAGAATCAGTAGAATTTTATTTGTTTCAAATTTTTAAAAGGGCTTTCCTTTGAATTGTTTGTATTGCTGGTGGGAACATGGATGCATTTACACTTGGATGTGTCGATTCGTATACATGAATACTATTTTAATAGAATTATTTTATAAGGTGATACAATATCTGATAACAGATTACTTTAGAAAGGACATTACGCTATTTTTCTATAGATTTTACGTGTTATTCATATTAATTGAAGAAATATCTTAATTATCTTATTCATCTTAATTAATCTTTATTTGAAGTAATGCGAAAGCGGTTCTGAGGGTTAATAAGTCTCGCTGAAGAGGGGGTGTTTTAGTCCATATACTACATATTAATGTTAGGGAGTTGGTCACACCAATCCGACGACAATCAATTTGACTGTGCATAAAGCATTCCACTTCCTCACCACAAAAAAAAATTAATCTTTATTATCTTAATTCACTGATGAAGATAATTCAGCAATAAATTATCTAATTTAGAACTCGAATTAATTAGGATTAATTTAATACTTATATTTAATCTTAATTCTTCCATTTAATTCTTTCAAGATCCCTACCATTTAGCGTTCTGTTTTAATAGCATAACCAAGATTTTTAAAATAAATATATAATTTTAAAATATATAATTCTGGCATTCTTAAGATTTTCTGATAATTTTCTCTTATTATAAAATGGTTTATTTAGAAATTGAAAACTTGATAACTACATAAAGAAATCTTAACTGTGAAGTGCTGCTATTATAATAGGCGGAGAGGTTCTTATTCTGCATGCTTTGCTGAAATATATTTTCCTTTTCATTATTTTGCTCTGCGATAACGTTGCAAATTTTTATATCTTCTCGGAATATATTACATATTTTTTACTATAATCAAATTGAATCCTAATTTTTTGTGTGACAATTAATTTTTACAAAATTTAATTATAATTTTTTTCCTAAAACTAATTATTTGATGATTATGAGGTGTATACATATAATATATGTATTTAATTGACAAACTCTATATACATATACATATATATTTATATATAAGTTTCGCATATATGTATAATAGATTATTATTATTATTGCTAGGGAATGTGGTACTGCGACCGTTGGGTCTATTATTCCCCATTCTAGGTTTAGAGTAAGTCTCTAAGCCCGTCAATAAAAAGTAGTCTACAGAGTTTTAATTTCTCTTCCATAAGAATATACATTCCCAGGAGCCTATTCCGTATGTGCATTAGTGCAGGGCATTCTAACAGCTCATGTGTGGCCGACTCATCAGAATCTACAGTTTGCATCTGCAGTATAATATATACTTTTTAATATATAATTATTAAACTGCATTTTAAAGAAATTTTAAGAATCACAATAATTGAATTATTTAAACGTTATACAAACTAATAAAAAAAAAACATTATGTTTTATTAGTTATTTTTTTTTAATTACTATTGATAATTTAATCATATAATTTATTAATTTTTTTTTTCTAAATATTATGTTCACTTTTAAATTTATATTATTAAACATTCGATTCCGTATTTTTTATATAATTTTATTACACAACGTAAATTAAATAGAATTTTAATTAATAAAATCAGATAGTGAATAAAAAATAAATCTTTTACGTCCATTTGTGTCTTCAGAAATTTATAATTTACTAGATACAAGTTAATAATTAAAATTCTTGGAAATGGTTTTGTTTACTTTATCTATAGCAACTGGAATATGTAGTGAATATATTGCTTACTTTCACTCCATTTTTATTAAGCCATAAATTTCTTATTTATTTACCTTTTCACTATCATATACCAAGTAAAACTGTTAACTTTTTGGAAATTATAAAGCGATTATGGGTTGAATATAAAAGTCATTATGATAACAGTTCGCATGTGGATTGTGTAGGTTTCTAGTCTATTTATAAAGCCGTTTTATTGTGATTACAATATAAATTTCTTCATTCATTGATTAGCATTAGATTTGAAGTGTTAGTCATGATGTTTATATTCGGGGATGATTAAAATAATTTTTAAAATATTGTAGGCATTTTAATACCTGATAAAATGATGGAAAGTTTTAATCCATTTGATTAGTATTTTCATTTCATAATGCGATTTTTTAAACATGCTTAAGATTTAGGGTATAATTTTAGAGATACTGTTTCAAAATTTAAAAAAATATTACAGTATTTTTGATTATTTCTAATATACAGTATAATACTATATAGTTTACCAATTGATTGATGTTTATTAGACAAGAATTTCCTGGATATGTCAATTTAATGACGGATTTTGATAAAATTGACCATTGTGAGCGATATTTATCGTTCTGCTATATTTACAGTATGGTTCTTCAGACAGTTAGAAGTTGCAATTTTTAATAACAAAAAAATTTTATTTTTAATAAAATAAGGGTTAA